ATATCAATGACATTTATTACCAACAAACCATAGCAACAATAAAGGCGGCTAACAAACGACAATCTTATTAAACCACAAACAACAATCATTCAACTATAGATATGAACTTATCATCACCTCAATTTCACAAAATTAAACTAAATTTTACCTAAACTCACAATAAACATCAAATTTACTAACACAATTTTAACTAAAATTATACGGCCATCAATTTCACCAAAAAGTAGTGCAATTTTTACCCAATTTCAAGTCAATTTCATCTCATATTCACACAATTTTAAGTAAATTTCACCAAAAATGCACTCAATTTCACACAAAGAAATTCAATTTCACCAAAAATTAAATTAAACAAAAATAACATCACCGCAAAGAGGAAGAGGAGGTCGGCGGTGGAAGAGAGACGGCTGGCGCCGCTGGGGAGGACAAAGCCGTTGGCGCCGCTGGGGAGGTCAAAGCCGCTGGCGACGCTGGGGAAGACGGCGTGGTAGGCGCGGCTGGGCGGGACGATAGGTGGAGGGGTCGGCGTGGCTGGCGAGGATGCTCGTCAGCGGAGAGGACCGTCGTTGAAGGCTAACGGAGGGGTGGCAATCGCAGGACGGCGGAGGGGGAGAGAGAACCGGGATAGGATTCAACTGAAGAACGGATGGCTGGAAAATTTTGACTTCGTTTTTTACTTTAAACCTGCGACGGATCTGCGACGGGCGTAAGGTTCCGTCGCAGATTTTAAGGTCAAATTTTGACCACCTTATATTTGCGACGGTACCCAATACACCGTCGCTGGTTTGCGACGGAAAATATATATCCGTCGCAGATTATGCTTTTTTTCGAGGAATACAATTCCGTCGCGGATTCGTTGCAGATCTGCTACGAATTTAATTCCGTAGCAGATATCCGTTGTAGACCAGACAAATTCTTGTAGTGAATATAATCTAAATAAAAAATGCTAAAAAAATTTGAGATACCAAAACTAGATCCTAAGATTAATCCAATTATATAAAATGTATTTTATAATTCAATATACCTTTCTCACAATTTGTAGTCAAAGCGTGTAAATATTTGACTAAATACTATTTAAAATGAAAACTTTTGTGGGATGGAGGGGGTAATAATTAATATCTTTTACTCTTACTTTAGGTAAACTTGATCATGTTTTCAGTTCCGAACCAGTATTGGAAAGCATTAAACAAATAAAATTTGACATTTGAATAAAACTATTCCACAAAGTTGACAAACTTTGATTATAATTAAATTGAAAATATGTTGAATTTTAGTACAATAATATTGTTGTTAGATATAACTTGCGTAAAATTATCACAATTTTATCTTATAATATTGTGGAGTACACCTTGGTTCCCATGACTTTGTAATTCAATATCATTGAATAATTAACTCGAGATTCATACGATGCTTCGTTCGAAAAATTGAAGGTTCCTATCCCCACCAACCCCCTATAAATTCCCCACCCCCACCACCCCCGGCACGGCCCGAACATACCTCCGCACCCCCGTCGATTGAATGTAACAAGATTTAGTAATTTTGGAGTTAAATTTTGCTTAATGTTATAAATTGCTCCCTCCCTCACAAAATATTTGTCACACTACGCAAAGCGAAACAAAATCTTATTAAAATACATAAAAAGTTTTTCAAAATTAATGGTGACAAGAATATTCTATTTTATTAAATAATAAATAAAAACATACTCCCTCCGTCCCCCATAGATCTTCTCAGTAGCCCTTTTTCTTTGTCCACAATAGATCTTTTCATTTCATTTTTTAACAATTAAAATACCATAACTACCCCCACTTACTTTATTTATTACACCTCACCCACCTCATTTAATACACTCCACCCATATTTCATTAAGGGTATTATGGTAAACTTTACTTTTTTCCAACTCTTCTTAAAAACCACCAAAAGTCAAAATGAGAATATCTTAGGGAAGTACAAATAAATAAAAATTTTCATAATTTTTAAATGATACTCCCTCCGTCCCGGAGTATTCGTCTAGTTTTGACTTTTGGAACTGTTCATCTAAGCACTTTGACTTATCAAATTTTCTCAATGTGTAAGCCTAAATATAGTCATGTGTGATCTTGTTTGATTTGTCTTAACATATAGATTATTAATATATAATTTCTATAATTTTTTAATATACAAATTACAAGATAAAATGGATTAAAGAAGTGTATTGGATGGTCTCTAAAAATGAAAGTCTCTAATATTGTTTTTGGGCTGGTGGCGTATTCGGTATCAAAGTTTGTTTCATTATTACATTCATTGGACTAATTGGAATCATGATTGTCACCTTGTGCACCACAAAAAAATAAAAGAAAAAAAAAAGAAAAATTGTCACTTTGACACCTTGTATTGGACGTCCTATTGGGCCATCTTTATAAGCCGACTTTTCTCTCCCAAATTATCAACGGAAAGAAGAAATTAGACAGAGCACAAAGAAAATATGGACAACTGGATGCTCCACAACTCAAAAACCAGATCTCCGCCGCCGACGCCGCCGCACGAAACCCTATTCCAAGCCCCGCCGGAAGACTGCGCCTGCGACTGCAGCTCTTGGCGGTCTCAGAATGAGGCGGATGGGAAAGAGGATCCATGGCGGACGATGAAGGCCAATAAGAAGAAGAAGCAGAAGAAGAAGGTGTTTCTAGAAGGGTATGTGGAGACATCTGAGGATGACGAGCTTGGGAGGACGAAGAGCTTGACGGACGATGATCTGGAGGAGCTTAAGGGCTGTTTGGATCTGGGATTTGGATTCAATTACGAAGAAATTCCCGAGCTATGCAACACCTTGCCGGCTCTCGAGCTTTGTTATTCCATGAGTCAAAAGTACCTCGATGAGCACCAGCGGTCGCCGGAATCTATGTCGGAAACAGCCTCCTCCGCCGCTGCCCCCATTCCCAACTGGAGATTCTCTAGTCCTGGTATGCCCTTTCCCCTTTCAAAATTTGATTTTTTATATGAAAAAGATTCGAATTTTCTGTCACAATTGTGATCTAAATCTTGATTCGTGAGGTGATTACTGATTAATCATTATTGATTGTTAGATTATATGTATAAACAAATTCTTTCTTGGAGCATTTGGTTGAGCTCGTTTCTCCGAGATGTTGACCAAGAGGTCTAAAAGTTTAAAATTTAGGGAAATTTAACTAAGGGGCTGTTCTTAATGGTTCGGATGTCTGAATGGTTCATCACTTAATGGTTCGGACTATTTGTTTCAGCCTCTTAATGGTTTAGATGTCTGAATGGTTAAGTATTATACAGAGCCTGAATGGTTAAGACCTCTTATCTGAATTTATAGACATTTCCCTCTGAATAGTTAAGTAATATACTAGCTCTTAGTGGTTCAGACCTCTTACTGGTTCAGCACTTAATGGGTCAGACCTCTTACTGGTTAAACACTTACTTATTCAGAAGTTGTCAAACAGCCCCTAAATGTTACGGAGTATTATTTTTCAATGTAGTATCATATGTTCATATTTTTCAATACAGTACTATTGTTCAATGTCCACTATGTCCACTGGACATTGTTTAAGTGAATGTATTGGACATTGTTCGAACTAAATGTCTACCATCACTTGATAATGTTCCTGGTACTAGACATTATTCAAATACTATTTAGAGAATAAAAAAGTTTAAGCATTACATTGGGAAAAAACATACTCCGTATGTTTTAGTACTATTTAGTGCAAATTTCACCAAGACTTAGTGCCACCTAGTGTAAAAAAAATAATTTTCACACATTGGAGTATAAAATGGGTCTATACAACTCCATGTTTGAGTTTTTAGTCGAAGGAAGGAACAGCATTTATGCTCCGGAAAGGTTTTAGTTTTGTTCTGAAAAAGTATAAGCTGCAAATGTGAGACTCCTTGTTCTGATGATCTGATCATATGTTCTACTCCAGGTGATGATCCTGAAGATGTTAAAGCACGCCTCAAATACTGGGCGCAGACGGTTGCTTGCACTGTGAGATTATGCAATTAGGAAAGAGGAGAATGAAGGCTTGTTCCCCCCCCCCCCCCCGAAAAGCAATGGCGGATGGACCCAAAGAACCCGAATGACTGTTTCCTTCATTCCCATCGAGAGGCGAGACGATTGTTTGTCTGAGGTGAAGAAAGCTCCTGATCATCGTCCTCATCATACCTCGAGGTACATTCTGCATAATTTCTGATTCTGGAAAGTGACTGACCCGAAGAGGACGGGCGGCGTTGAGTGGTTCTCATCGTGTATGTATATGGATTGTGCAGAGGCTGTATATCAAAACCTTGAAATAATAATACTCTGTAATTGTTGATGTACATTTACATTTTGGTTGAACTGAATCCATGTTTCTTGCCCTGAATCCATGTGCCTCATCTTTTTCTCTCATCAAACTACTTTCAACTCTGTTGGTTTCTGAGAGGTGAATATATTCTCAATTTATCATTGTTTTTCTGTATATGAAAGTGTTTTTGTTAGAGCCTTTGTAGCAGGGGCGGACTCAGAACATTTATATCATGGGGTCGTAATTTAGAAAAATTTATATCTAACAATCACGTTTCTAACAATAAATAAACATTATTCTACAATACATAACTTTAAAGTTTATATATATTATTGAAAATACTAATTCAAAATAGTTTTACATTCCAAATGTGAAACACATCTTATAAATGATAACGTCTAGTTTTCATATTTTGAAAGTGATTTATTATTTTATCATTGCTAATAGTAGCAAAGAGATCTCTTTTAATATGTCACTAGACAATCATTTAACCATTGGACACAAATTTTGTTTCGAACCTCATTTAAAATACATTTGCATCCTATATTGAAATTTAAATAATTAAAAACATTATAAACTTAAAACATAACCTAATTATATTAACATATTCACAAATCAAAATCTTACAAAATAAATAAACGAATTCAATTCTCTATTTTGCTATTCACAATAACAAATTTATAAAAATTAAATAAAATTTTCACAATTTACAAATAAAAAAAGAAATATCTAATTTAGATAATTAGATTTAAGAGAAAAAACCTGGTTGTTCGAGTAATTGGGGCCTTGGGGGGTCCTCGTCACAGTCGTCATTTCCAACTTCCAAGCAGTGGTCGGCGATAGGCGAATGTTTGGAGTCGGCCGTCGGCGAGCGGATGGTCACTGGTCAGTCTCAACTTCCGAATTCCGATTTTGCAATTAGGTCTGGACGTCTGGTGCAAAAGTGAGATGTGTCGAACTGATTTAAGAGAAAATCGAAAAAAGGAAAAAAACGACGCCTTTTTAGATGTCATTCTTCTTAAAAATAATATGTACAGTCAACACCCTACAGCTGGATTCAAACACAAGACCGCCCACCCGAATGAAAACCTCCGAGCTTTCCACTCCTTCAGCGCTAGAAAGTAGATAAGTGTGCCGTTTCGTAGGATATATACTAAATCTAGGTATACATTAAAAACATTATATATATATATATACACACACACACTAAAAAATTTAAAATTTTCGTTGGGTCGCTTGCCCATGTGTGACCACAATGTGGGTCCGCCCCTGCTTTGTAGAGTGATGCACTTCTATCAAAAGTTTGTAGACCATAAAGAAATATGGCGTAAGAAGCAATTTATTAATGTGTCATTTTGATTTAGTTCATTATTTATCCATTATAGAACTTTGGTGATGAGATGATTTTACCTTACTATCTCCACATATATAGTTCGCTATGATGAAATTTATAAAAAAGTCAAAATGGTTCTTTCTAATAAAGTGTTTTTCTAAATTAATTCTTAATAAATATAATTGTCTACGTAGTCTTTTATAATTTAGATTTATCATCTAAATGTTCTTCTGCCAAAAATGTCTATATTTTCTTATTTTCTACCATCTAGACTTAAAGTACCTCTCGAAATGCTTCTTTATAATTAAGTATCTTAAGTATCTTTAAGCTGATAATTTTTAAATAAATGTTTTTTTTTCAAAATTGAGTCCATGAGCCTACTCGGAGAGAGTCTATTTCTGTAACAGTCACTTGCTTAATTTGAAAGGACTTTTTGAGGACTTATTCAAACTTTAAATGATGGAAAATACAAAAATACATTCCTTTTAACTGTATTTAATGGACATTACTAACAGAGGGCTATTTATAGAATATATATCTTAATTTTAATAGATCATGTTGATAATTATTTCTTATTGATAACTAATTTGAAAAAAAATATTTTATTAGAAAAGACAGTTTAAAATTTTATTATTTATAAAAAGTATTGAAAAGTGAAAACTATGCAATAAGAATTCGTTTAGACAATAGACAAAAGCTATGAGTCACTAATTCATTTTCTTGAGGAATTTTTTTTCCTAGAAATCATCATATGTACCTCTAAGACGCCCAATATTACACATGTAGCACTTCTTATTGTTTTTCACACATTTGACTATTTATGACATAGATCGCTTCCAATCATGCTCTTTTATCATAATACGATTTATTAATTATTTCATTTAACATATTTATTGAGATCTATAATTTTAGGAGGTTGTTCTCATTCCTTGTACATAGTATGGATCTCTTATTTTAAAATATATTTTCAATATTTACTTTATTCTAGTTTTTTTTCAAAACTTATTGAAAAGAAAACTTACAAAAACAACTAACTCCATCTCTTCCCAAAAAAACACTGCGACGAATATACACTTTTTTAATTTTATTAAGGGCAAGGTTCCCATGACATTGAGAACTAATGTCATGGAATGACCCGGGAGCGCTCCGGTGCTCCATTCGTAAAATTGACGCTTCCTACCCCCTAACCCCACCCCCCCCGCCTCGACCCGAACACACTCCCACCCCCTTCAATTGCACCCCACAAGTTGATTTTGACTTTGGAGTCAAAATTTGATTTCAAAGTCAAAACCAACTTGTGGGGTGTAATTGAAGGGGGTGAAGGAGTGTGTTCGAGTTGGGACGGGATGGGGGGTTAGTGGGACTAGGAACCATCAATTTTACGAATGGAGTACCAGAGTGCCCACAGGTCATCCTATGACATTGGTTCCCAATGTCATGGGAACCAAGAGGTTTTATTAATGTGCTTGTAAGAACATCTCCAACCATGCTTACTATATTGGCTTGCTAATTTTATATTTTAGCAAGTAAATAGTGATATAGCAAGTAACTTTTTGTTTTATTTTCCAACCATAAGTTGCTAATCCATTTTACAACTCTTAGCTTGCTATATTTTGGAAAACTTTTTATATTTAGCAAGTCAACGTCATTCTTTAGCAAGCTTGCTATAATATAACACAATCATTGGAGATGAAAAAAATGATTGGCTTGCTATATCATAACTTTTAGCAAGCCAAATTGGAATGATTCGAGATGCTCTAAGCACTAAGAGCATGAACAATGGTGAGGCAAAAATGAAATGCCACACGCTGACGTGGAGCATTTCAACCAATAAAAAACGGTCGAGTCTGAAGAATAGTTAATTTCTAATAATCACAAAGGTGAGGTTACATGTGTATATATACAAGAGGGTTTCCTAGTTAGGGTAGGAAACATATTAATGGTAACCTATACACATAAGGTAACTACAATAATTACAATATTAAATATAATAACAATATATTTAACATGCTCCTAGCGGCGTTGCTAATGAAGGCCGAACCCCCAAGCATTCCCGGAACTCGGTGAAAATGATGGTCGGGAGACCCTTCGTGAAGATGTCTGCATACTGAAGTGACGAAGGGACATGAATGACGCGAACCTGCCCGAGAGCAACCCTGTCCCGAACGAAATGAATATCAACCTCGATATGCTTCGTGCGCTGGTGCTTGACAGGATTCGCCGATAAGTAAACTGCACTGATGTTGTCACAAAAGACAAGGGTGGATCGGCTGAGAGGCTGCTGGAACTCTAGGAGAAGATTCCGGATCCAACTGACCTCGGCAACAGCATTAGCTACAGCTCTGTACTCGGCCTCGGCGCTGGAGCGAGATGTGGTGAGTTGGCGCTTGGAGGACCAGGAGATGAGATTGTCACCAAGAAATATGCAATATCCAGATGTGGAGCGTCGAGTGTCAGGGCAACCGGACCAGTCAGCATCTGAATAGGCGCGCATATGATCTGTTTGCGATGGAGTGATGGAGATGCCGTGGGGGAGGGGGGTACTAAATCCCATGTATTATTAGCAATCAAGGCATTATATTCATCTAACATAGCATTGTACCAATTTGGATCTTTAAGTGCACTTCAGTAGGTGGGGGGAGAG